GCTATTTAGTCTAGACATTTCTCTTTTTGTGTTATAATTTGTTGTCATTCTAGAACGAAAAGGGCATAATTTATATTTATTTCCTAATTTTTTATGGTGGTTACGAGATCTGTCAAATCGACCAAACCCTTTCAGATATTTGTTAGTGAGAAATAACAGATAAAATAGAAAGTTTTTCTTAAAAAACGTTTGATAACTATCTGGACATGCATAAAAGTATTTTTAATATTAAAATGAAAATTACTTTGCATGTTGGATAGGCAATATGCAAAAAGAAAAACAGGCATGAAAAAAAACATTGCTTTAGAAAAAATCAAAATTAAATATCTTATTTTCAAAAACTACATACTTATAGGACCTTTCATCTCAAATTTAAAAGAATTTCATCTACTTGTTTAACTTTTGTAAAGAACTTTCATGAAAGTTGCATACTTACTTACAATGTAAGTAGGTCATAGTCAAAGCGTTAAGGAAACAGTCAAGAATCATAATTTAATATGATACCAGTTTAATAAAGTACTTATGAAAATACTTATTTGAAACAAATGTATGAATGTCTAACTTCACAGTAAACTTGTTCTTCAAGAGTAAATAGTTCATTAATATAAATTATGAATAAACATGAAATTTTATGACTAACGGAATTCCAGCGTAAATCCAGCATCATTTCAAAATATGACAAAAAATGAAATCTACAGAAAAGAATTAGAATGAATTTGAAATGTATAAATATCCTGTGAAGTAGTCACCAACATTTTTAACATTTATTATATGGCTAATGTCTTTAATTTTTGTATATTTGTAAGTGAAAAGAAACAAGTTAATTTTTATACAAATGCTTTTTTTGTTTAGACTATTTAAAAAGTTATGTTTGTGTGAATACATGAAATATTAATGTTGATAAAATCTGGGGTAAAATATCTTATGTAAAGTGATGCACATGTTTTCTTTGAAGCACTGACACATATTTTATGTTTTATTTTTCAGGGATGGACAAACATTGATTACAGCGTCTGAAGACAAAACTTGCAGAGTTTTTAAAACAGACAAAAAACAGTAATGAAAGTAGATTGTGTCAAGTCTTTTGTAAATAAAAAAAAAGTTGAAAGTATGAAATTGTAGAGAATTGTGAATTTTTGAGAAACATAATGTACACTGTTTTTCTTCGTGTATAACACAAACTCCATGGCATAAATTTTAACCTAATTAATTCAGTATTAACTTACCATCATACTGAACCAATTACAATCCCTAAGTGGCATGTCTTATGCTTATGATTATTTGAAATAGAAATACGTGGTATGTATATACATACATAAATTATACTAGTTTAGTATATGAATGTTTCTTTTGTTTTATGTAAATATTCTCTCTGTGTTCAAAATAAAGGTGTTTGCTAACAAATGATTGTTAGTTTTGAGTTTCAGAAAAGTTAAATATAGACATTGAATGTAGCACTTAATTAATAATTTCATAATAATTTTTGTAAAAAAATAAGAAGAAAATTTAGTGTTAATAAAAATATTTTAATATTTAGTTTCCTATTTGTAAAGTATTTAACAAAGGTTGTTATATTTTAAAATATTTGACATTGTACAGATATTCAATTAAAAATGTTAAAATGTGAACAATTTGACAAACTTTTTTCTGATATTTCAATAAAAATAATTTTGATAAAAAATTAAATATGGCTAATGAAATTTAAAATTTAAATGTATTAGAATAATGTATAGTATTGATTAGAGTTCTGCTAGAAATAACTGGCAAATTTAATGGAGTATACTTTTCAGTAGAGCTGCATCCTATTTGGAATTACTTATAACTTATGTAGCTCAAGAAACAAATATAAACACTTGTCAACAAAGTATTTATCATTATATAGTGGCTTATAAATTTAACCTTTATTTGCTAATGCAAGAAATGGTGCGATGCTAGAAATTAGGATTTCAATGGAATTAAATGGCTAATATGGTGTTTAGACAAAATATTATTTGTGAGATACGTTGAAATGTTTTTGACAATCCTTGAATGTCAAAAGTAGTGGGATAGTGGGGACTGCATGGACCCCTGTTTTGTAGGTGACATTTTACCTGACTTGTTCATGCTCTTGCTTTTTGTGTCCAAAGGAATTGGTAATCGACTATAAACTTTGATCGGACTTAATTATGTTTGATGATTTAGATTGCATTTGGTTTTTCTCTGTTTATTTCTTTCTTTTTTTTTAAGGAATAAGTTTGCTATATGATATGACATCTCTTTTACCTTTATTTGTGTGATCTAGTTAAGTATTCTCTGGAGAGGTGGTGTATTGCCTTTATATTCTTAGAGTTGTCTAATTCAAAAATAATCTGTAATTGGACTATATACATACATATATATATTCACATACATTTTTCCACACTTGTTAGTTCATTCTCAGACCATGATATGTTTGTGGCTTTGTTGGTAACGTTTGAATAGGAGTATATTCTACTCTATTCCTGAAGGTACAGTAAATTTTTATGAAATAGTTTTAGTGGCATATTTGATATAAATATGTTTCATAGATTAAAATAAAAACGATATAATAAAAGTTAAAGTCTTCACAATAACTTCAAGAGAAAATAGACAGCAGAAAAAGACCACAAGATGAGGAAAAATTGTTGCAAGAGATATTGTAAAAAGTTAAAACACACAATTAAAATAAAATAATTATTTTATTAACTACGTTTTGGGCATATGCTCTTTGTCAGGCTTAGCTGTTAAAATTACAGAATACATTTAGTAATTTTAACAGCTAAGCTTAATGATGGGCATATGCCCAAAATGTAGCAATTAAAAGATATTTTTTATTATAGATGTATGTTTTAATTTTTTACAAAATTCAAGAGAAGATAGGTTGAGGAGGTGCCTCAATATAGTAATAAAAGTTGTATTTCAAGTGATTTAAAGTGATTAAGGTCATTTTTTGCAGCACATTGAAGGGCAATAAGGATGCAATTATAATGGCTCTTTTTGTAAGATACTTAAGAGAATTTCCAAATATAGTAATTAATTTTTTATAATAATTATAATAAACTAAAGGTACAAAAAGATTTTTTTTTTACTATTATTATTATTATTATTATTATATATATATTATACACACACACCTCTAAATGAAGAAAATCTTGTATGTTTATGTTGGCTTCCTAAAACCCAACATAGTAAGATAAATATAATGCAAAAGTGATTAACAACCAGATTTTGCATGTATATTAACTTGATATTTTCTACAATGTTATGTGAAAAGAAAAAAATAATTAACAATTAATATTGTATTGATAGTTTGTATTTTAACATATATATATTTTTCCTTTTACAAAGGGAGAGGAGGTATAAAAATGTTTATATATTTGTCACATTTTGATGAAATACAAATAATGTAAACAACATTTTTTTAATGAACTTGTTTTTATTCAAAACTCTAATGATCAAACTTAACACTGTTATATGTGAAGGAGGTTGAACATCAGCAAAACCTGCAAAGAAAATGTACAAATTGAAATTTGCTGATTGCATAAGTATTAAGCCCCTTAAGTCAGTACTTGGTGGAAGCATCTTTGGCAGCAATTACTGCTGTGAGTCTTTTTGGATAGATCTCTACCAGCTTTTCACAATGGGATGGTGTCATGTTTGCCCATTCTTCACAGCAAAATTGCTCCAATTCTGACAAGTTCATTGGGGATCATTGATGGACTGCAATCTTCAAGTCTCGCCATACATTTTCTATTGGATATAAGTTGGGACTTTGACTGGACCTCTCCAGGACATTCACTTTCTTCTTTTGAAACCATTTCAGCGTGGCTTTGGCCGTGTGCTTCTGGTCATTGTCCTGCTGAAATGTGAATTTTTGACCCAGTTTTAGATTCTTGGTTGACTCAAGCAGGTTTTCCTCTAGAATTTGCCTGTACTTTGCCCCATTCATCTTCCCCTCAATCCTGAAAAACTGATGAGAAGCATCTACCATAACATGATGCTGTCACCACCACGCTTGACAGTTGGGATGGTGTTGACTGGGTGATGTGCTGTGTTGGGCTTGCATGAGATGGACTTCAACATACTCAAAGGGATAATCAGTGACATTGAAATTTTCTTGTAACCTTCTCCTGATTTGTGCTTTTCTATCACTTTATCCCTGACTTGTTTGAAAAGCCTATTGGTTTCATGGTTGGTTTGTAGTATCATTATGATATAGAGTTGTGATTTGAACAGATACATTTATTCTGAAGTCAAATTAAATCATTTTGATTACACACAAACAGAGACCATTATACTAATTTTGTGACCTTTCAAACTAATCTTTTGCATTTGAACTGATTTAGGGTTGCCATAGAAAATGGGTTGAATATTTAGGAAATTGAGAATGTTCTAATTTTCTTTGTAAAATCTAACTTACTTGCATAATATCAGCGTTTTTTTAGCTTTCTCAGTTTGGAATAGACTGTGTAGATTCTAAATATAAACTCCCATTTGAAAAATTCGTGATTGTAAGCTCAGAGAGCAACAAAATGTGGAAGCTTTGCAGAGGGGGTGGATACTTTTGGAAGGCACTGTAGTTTTCAAGTACATAATTTCATAGGTCATTGCGTTGTTAAGCTTTTTGACCTTGAAGATCCTTACAATGGAGTGAATATGAGCAATTTGGTAACGAAACTAGAGGATTTGGGAAAACTCAAAAATTCTCATACAATTGATATTGGATGTACTGGACACCAGGCGCTGTCAGTTTAAATTTGGCAAATACAGTTGTGAAATTTCTGAAATCGGTTCTGGCTCGTCACAAAGATCTCCGTTGAGTCATGTCTTCTTTAACGTGCTCAGAGAGAAACTAAAAATTAACCCTGTAGTGAGTGTAGCTAATTAAATGTTTTTGTTGTTGTTGTTTTTACGTTCTTACTTATAAAGATTAGAATGCATTGTTATCAGTTGAGTAACCTCGCTGTTAATGATATTTTCGATCGTAAACCTAATAATATCCCTCGAGGTTCGGCCATATTAGGATATTTAAGTTAGTCCTAAATCAACAAATTAAGCAATCTCTATAATAATGGTGGAATTACGTAAATTAAATATATTAACCAATACTTCTTGATAAAAGAGCACAAAGAATCGCATATAAAGTGTAATAAACTTAAAATAAGACAAAACTCGAGCGCTTTCGAATAGTCAACTATTACGAAAGCGCTCG